GAATATAAATAAACTACACAGAACTAATCTAATCTGTAACTGCACATAACAGGTAGGCGCCAGCAAAATCAGAACCGTGACTCTGAGGCGCTTCTGCGCCTAAAGACAAAAGTTCTGAAAATGGTTTATCTTGCACCTGAAATACATTTTTATCAAAGCAGCAACTGGCTTGTTTTCTATGTTCTTCTTAGAAAACCCGAAGGCTTGGTGATTCCTGAGCTGTGTTTTTGCAATGCCTGAACACCACTCTCTTTTTCTCTACACTCGCCACCACCATTTGAAAGAATTTTTAACTGGCTGACTTACTTTTTATCTTTGATACAAAACAAAAGACCTTTGAAGGGATGTTTTGGCTTGGTGCAGGCAAAGCCTCAGTTTCCAAACTGAAATATCCGAGGAGGCCAAAACCCTGAAGTAACAGCGTTTTTCTACTTTTTGGGTTAATGTCCTAGTGCCCAGCCAGCCCTGTCTCTACCATTGGTCTAATTATTAATGAGGATCTTAGGCATCATACTGATGATTTATTTGGATGACAATTTTTTTTTCAGCGTGAAATTACGAAGCACCAATCTTCCCATAAAGAGAGAGAAGGGGAACAGATCCATGAACGGCTGTAAAGTAAAAGCACACAATTAAATGGGCCTGGTTTCGGCCGCAGTGCCTGAGGTCTGTACCGAAGGAATCTCGTCACACTTCCAGACACCCCGAAGTGTCACACACATCAAGTTTTAAATCAAATATCTAGAATTATAAAGTCACAGAGAGCGAGAGCTAGACAGGCCCCCTTCATGAGACCACCCTCATTCCAAAATCACATTTTAGGAGGAGGACACTGAGCCGGAGTGTAGAGCCCAGGAATGTGTCCTCGGGTCCCGCTGTCTCTCTGAGACTTGTTTTTTTTTTTTTTGTCCCTAAACAGATTTGAGTAACACCCAGGTCCTCACATGAAGGACCCAGGGTCCTTCCCGATCTGGAAGGTACTGAGGCCTTGCCAGAAAGATCCTCTCCACACACCTGACCCAGAGGAAGGGGGCCCCGTCTGAAGAACTGTGTGTTTTTGAACTTGGACCCCAGCCCCAGGTCTGGGCCTGCAGCATCCCCGTCCAGAAAGGAGTTTTCTACTTATGAGTCCTCACCACTGCATTCATGTTTAAAAAGTGATCCTCTAAGGCTTTTAAATTTTAATTTGGCTTGCCCACAAATAAAAATTGTATACTTTTCCAAACCACATACGACCCTTATAAACCGTTTGAATTTTTTAGTACCTGTATGAATTAGTTTTTCACTAAACAACGACAACGAAGATGGGCATTAGACTGATTGGGGCGATCCCTTTGTAAGTTATACAAATGTCAACTCACTATGTGGTCCCCCCCAAAATAGCATAATAATGTACGTCAACCATAACTGGAAAAAAATAAAAAGACAAAACTAGTCAATAGAAAAGCAAAACAAAAATCAAAACAAAAAAAAACAAACAAAACGAAACTCTAGTGACCCTTAAAAGTAGAGGGCACCAAACAGTCAGAGATTTTGTATCACACTTCTTTATATAGTCATCACCTTCCACCCCACAGCTAATTTGGACAACGTTTTGTTTTTTGGGGTTTTTTTTTGTACCCATAAGTGATAGCACAATTCTGAAACAAATCAATAAAATCTTTTTAAAGTAACATGTGCACATATTTTAATACAGTGCTTTGAGCCTTGTGTTTTAATGGCCCAGATACTCTTAAATGGAGTAATGGAGGCAAGTGAAGAACTGCTGATTAATCTTGAGTTATTTTAAAGAACAAGTGAGAACACCATCCTTGCTCAGTGCAACCTGCTTCTATTCAGACCCCAGTGAAGAATAAATGTGCCCAAATTTAAGCCACTGAACACAAGATATGTGGTAATTTCTTCCGAGCAAATTTCAAGTGTCTGATCCTTTACAAACAGACATCGGGCGCAAAAACCTGAACACTCTATTTCAGGGGCAGGCGTATCTGTCGGGCTCATCAGAAGCCACAGCAGACTAGGCCCGAAGTGCTTTGCGTGTTTCTGAGAGATGCCCTGGCCTTCCAGCCAGCTCCTTCCCACGGAGAGTGGGCCTTCCCACCACATTCCTTTCCAGTAAAAAGGCCTTTGCTACTTTGTATAATCTAAGTGGTGAAGTCATCTTCAGAGTGCACTTCCCAACGGCTTGCTTTTTCACTGTGTTTTTAACTGGAGGGAGGCCCTCTGGATTCCCCCACATGTGGGCTCTGGGACTCCCAACTGTGATGAGCTGCCGGGAGACCAGGCGGGAGGCGGGCCCAGAAGGCAGCCAGCGTCAGCCTCCTCTGGGCTGTCACCTGGGCCTGCACACAGCATCACACACCGCCGGTCATTCCCCCGCAGCCCGTGCGTGTCACTCAGGCACGGAAGGTTTAACTCTCAGGAAAGGCTGGGCAGCATCGAAACCTCCGAGGGCCAGGGGTTGGGAGGCTGAACATGCAGCTTCAAACGTGTGTGTGTGTGTGTGTGTGTGTGTGTGTGTGTGAGGGTGGATGTGTGTGAATGTGTGTGAGCGTGTGTGAGGTGTGTGGACCCGGAGTGCAGACCCCGACTGGTGTGCCTCAGTTGGCTGGGTGTAATCCTGCAAAGCAAAAGGTCGCGGGTTCGAGACAGAGCACATGCCTAGGTTGTGGGTTCGATCTCCAGTTGGGGTGTGAATGAGAGGCAACCGATCATGTTTCTCGCCCTCTTTTTCTCCATTCCTCCCCATCTCTCTAAAAGTAAATAAATAAATGTTTAAAAACAAGCTGCAAAGGCCCGAGAGGAGAACAGAGCGTTGGTGTTCTAGCGCCTCAGACAAAGCTGGCTCAGGTTTTATCTGTAAAACCCTGAAAAGCCCAGCCAAAAGGCCCAGCCAATCAAGATGTCTGGCTGTCTGCAGACAAAATGTCAGTGTCAGGGAATCGAGGGGTTTTTGACCCAATGAGCAGACGTTACGGTGTCACAAGGAAGTCTCCACCGTAACCTTCTGTACGAAAGAAAACAGCTTGTCATGCAAACACTCGACCCGAAGCGCGAACATCCCAGGATCCCGTCATTTCCAGCTGGTTGCCCGCGCTTCTCCCACCCCCAACATTCACGTGATTCAGAGAGCAAAGGTGTCAGGGGACTCCTCCCCAGCCCCGCCGCCCTCTGGGTGTCTGGAAACCTGTGCGACCGTGGCAGGGGAGCTGGACAAAGGGCAGGCCTCGTTTCTACCCCTGGACCCAGGAGCTACCTTGAGAACACCCCTCTGCCCCCTGGGTTTCTCCGTCGGCTTCCCTCCGACAAGTGAAAAATAACAAGTGTCATCTGTCACTGTTTAGCTCCCCTTTAACTCACTTCCAGGCAAGAGCCCTTTTCAAACATCGAGAGGCACACACTGTTTTGAGAACGAGCCAATAGGAGCTGCGAGTCCACCACCCGAAAGGGCAAATGGAAACTTGGAGGACCCGTGAAGGCGTCTGGGCTGTGCCAGCGATGCCACCTTCAGGGCTTGGAACGCACATGGGAGGGGTGAACAGAGGACCACCCCCTTCGCTGGGCCTTTAACTGCAGGCAAGGAGGCAGAGGAAGCTGGGCCCCAGCTCCAGGGAGAAACACTTTCCACCTGTCCTTTATCACTATCCCCTTCCAGGTGGACCGCCCCTCCTCTGCAGGTGTTGTGCCCGGGGCCGGTGCCGGAGGCCCCGTCCTGGCCACAGAAAGCCAGGCCGATTGGAGCCAGATTTTGTGGACACATTTGCTCCCCCATCACCGACAGAAAGCGGAGTTCCAGGAAAAGGAATGCCTAGCCTTCAAGCACCCAGACGGTGACATCTGAAGTGGGAGTGGGAGAGAAACATGCTTTCAGGTCCGAAATACCTTAGACAAGGATGAGGAGTAGAAATATAAAGTTCTCGGTTGCTGTGGTTTAAGTCACTGAGGTACAATGAATAGTGCTGGATATTCAAGGCGAAATCACGAGGCTACCTGCCACAATAAGACGCAGACTTTCCCCAAGGCAGCACAAGAACCCCTTGTACGCTGAGCTAGGAAATTCCCCATACTCTGGAAAAGCTAAGAGAAAGTCCAGACCTTTTCAGAAGCGCTAGCTTCAATGCTTACGTCTTCCGTAAAACACTCTGATCATCCTAAGAGTGAAAACAGCCGAGGACTGAGATTAACCACAATAGAAATAAACTCTTGTCGACAGCCACAGCCAGAACAAGAGGTCAGTGTGATGAAATATACCTGTACCAGTCACCAAGCATATCCATTAGGCGCTGTCCACCCTAGAGATATCACCCAGGTCCCTATCTGAGGCAATTTGACCTAACAGAACATTCTGTGATGAAAGAAATGCAAAAGCATGGTTTTCCTTTCAATGCATACGGCAAACTGTATCTTAGTTATGCCAGCCCCACGAACACTGCGTGTCCTGACTTAGCTTACTGGAGCTGAGTGGTTCTTCACCCCCAGACCCACCACAACCACATCTATAGGTCTCAGGACCCTGGCAGAGAATCACAGCGCTCACTTTCCTGGCCTCGTCGTACAGAGGCTGAGTTAACTCAATGATGTGCTTGTCAGTTTTCCTCTGCCTAGAAGAATCGCAGGATTAAGTGGTTCGCCGGGGACAAAAGCTACCCTTGGCAGCCTTGCTCCCTCTCGGTGGGGGTTAATCAGGACGGCTGTGGTAATATTCACGAATATTACCCTCCCAAGAAGTGAGTGGTGACCTACCAGAGGTACCACAAAAATGTTTTTTTAAGATGCACATAGCAATAGCCATTGAAGAGACTTGTGTTCACTGCCCAAGCCACAAAGTGCATGGTCAGAGCCTAAGCACCTGCCCAGGAAACACACCTGGAGAGAACAGTAAGTTGTGACTGTCCCAGGGTCCCCCGCTCAGAGTCTTCACGACTCAGTAGAAAGTCAGAAAAACAGGGGGCACACACGGCATGAAAGCATTTCCAGAAAAATCTCAGGGCAAGACTTACCACTCTGGGCTTCTGCTGGTCCAGGGTAGGGAGCAAGGCAGAGTTGGGGTCCAGGCAGCGCTCAGGGTCACTGGAGATGTCCTCTTCTGAGTCGTCATAGGAGGAGGAGAAGCCAGTGGAGGAGGCAGAGGAAGAGGACAGCTTCCTCAGGGGAAAGCTGCCGAGGGGGCTGCCCTGGGTCTCCTCCAAGACCCCGTCCTCCTGGGCGCCCAAGTCTGTAATGATCACTGCAGGTATGTTGCTGGGGCTGCAGGCCTCCCTTGGAAAAGACTTGTCCGCCTGATCTGGGGAGAGCAGCTCTAGGCTGGGGTGGGTGGCTCTGTCCTTTGGTGGGCTTCCCCAGATCCCCTGGGATTGTACCCCAGTGCCACACGTCCAGCCCTGAGGGGCTTCCCCCATGGGGTCCAGGCGAGCCCTGGAGCTCCCAGGTTGCACACCCACCCGGACCCCAAGAAGGCACTGAGGTTCTTTCACATCGTTTGTTGCTTCCCAACAGGGCAAAGGTTCCAGCATGCCGCCAGCAGGAATTCCCGCCTCCACCTCCCCTGCACCTGGCTGTGCTGAGGCGCTGCCCCCATGCAAGCCCCGTGTGGCAGATTCTTCATCCACTCTGTTGGAGCGCTGCGGCAGCTCCTCGACCACTGCGGCCACACTGTGGGTCACCTCGGGCCCTACAGAGCCCAGGTCTCCTGACGACCTGAACCAGCTCGGGGCCTCAGAGGGCTTTGAGCTTTGCGCGTCCACAGTCCTCTCCTCTGGCCTTCCACCTGATTCGGGCTCCCCGGAGTCTTGCAAGCCACTGGGCCGATTTCCTTTCCCCACCTTCCCGGGGGGATCTGCATCGCCCTTCCCACCCTTCTCAGGGGCTGGGCTTGTCTCACTGCCCAGAAACTGCCCCTGACTCTCCAGCAGGGCTGGGGGATGTACACCCCCGAGCTCCGGGGGCCTCTCAGACAGCTCACGGAGGGCAGAGTTGTGCGGATGGTGTGTCCCAGCAGATGCAGCTCTAGCTGCCACTTCTGTGGCCATCACGGAGTTCTCTCCAGCAAGCCCCGACGCGGGAGCTTGGCAGCTCAGAGTTCCCGAAGGAGGGGAAACCCTTTTGTCAATTTCCATAGCTACGGGTGAGCCACAGTGGGGTCTGGCTGGGACCCCCTTCTCAATTATCACGGAAGCGGATGAACCCTGAGCCCCTGATCCCGACGCGGAGTCCAAGCAGGGAAACGGGGCCACTCCCTCCTTGTCCTTGGAAAGGCTTGGGCGGGACGCCCCAGCGCTCCTCCGGGAGTCGGCCTCTGAGGTTTCTGGACATTGATCCCCCCAGGACTTGGTCCTCCGTTCCTCGCTCTGAGCCAGGACCCTTCCTGGGGGCTGACTGCTGCTGCGGAAGGGACACGGGGAGGGCGAACGCGCCCTGCCCAGACGCGGGCTGCGGGGCGCTTGAATGGCGGAACTCTGCGCCTGGATGTGAGCCTCGAACATGCCCACTTTCTGGTTCACCTGCACGTTCTGCAACTCGCGCTGCAGGATCCGCAGCTTCCTCTGGGCCTCCTCCGGCCCTGGAGGGGAAAGGGGACCGGTGGTCACCACCTGCTGCCCGTCCCCTCTCAGGCGACCTGCCCAACTCGGGCTGCCCACACTGCTGCTGCTGCTGCCGCCACTGCCGCTGCTGCTATTCAGCCTGCGCCGGCCACTCCGCCAGCCCCCGGGGCTCCCGGGATCCTCGGGCGACAACGACTCGGTTGGGGGGAAGAGGAAAGAGGAGCTTCTCCCGGGGCTGAAAACGCTGCCGGGGCTCAACACGGCGCTCCCCGGCGGCGGGGGTGTCTCGCTGCTGCTGGCCCGTGGGGCGCCGCCGCTCTTCACCGGGTTGGCGCTATTCATGATCACCAGGCTGTTGAGTGCATAGCAGTACACAGCCATAGTACTGGGTCCCGCGCTGCCCGCCGCCGCCGCGGCTCCTGCTCCGGCTCCGCCGCCCGCGCCTCCTCCTCCCGCGGGTCCCAGCTCAGCACCGGAGGCCCGGCGGCCGCCGCTCCGCGGACAGACGTAGTGGCATGGCTTGGGCGGCTGGCGAGGGGCAAGACCTCGGGCTCAGCCCCCGCCCAAAGCTCCATAAACAACAGCGCCGCTGTGGAGACACAAGGAGAAAAATCAGGACATCAGTGTGGGGAAGGGGGAGCGAACAACTCAACCTGCGAATCCCCAATCTGTCGGGGATCGGGTGCCACTGGGTGTCCCACCTACCGACTGGGGACACAAACCCTCGTGGCGTCAGTGGCCAGCACGGTGGTGGGTGTGCCTTTCCCAACTGTGCTCCCACCCCACACTCTGGGTTTTGATGCGTACGGGGCAGCCTTCAAATTCCAAATTGTACGACTCGTCTCTGGAGCCACGCGGATGGGCGGGGGATGATGCAAAACTACTTGTGCTTAAGTGTGCTGTGTGCTTGGCGTGGCTGCCTCCGCGAGTGAGGACACTCATCCACCCTCTCCGGGTCTTCGGCCTGAGCAAACACTGGTGATATTGGGTATACCGGGGCCTCCCCCGCCCCTGGACTTCAGGATCTCCCCGCTCCACCCTCCGGTCATCCGGGACCGACTCAGACCGAACCTGAGCGGGAGCTGCCTTCCGCCTGCCGGGTCTGGGAGGACCCTGCGTGCCTGACGTTCACCTTCCCGGCCCTGGCCTGAGTGAGGACTGTGTTTCTCCGCCTATGATGGTCTGGGCGCGCGGCGGGGCCTCAGCCAAGGCATTTTTCATCTGGGCGCCGGCTTTGTTGCCTGTCCTCAAACAAGTGTGTTTTGTGAGTGTGGGCGCGCCTGCGCGCGCCCGTACCGGAACCAATACTCGCTGCCCACTGCCGTAGCCCCCTGCGGAGGGGCGTGTGTGTGTGTGTGTGTGTGTGTGTGTGTGTGTGTGTCTGCACGCAGCCAGCGAGTCAGCCTCCGCACCCCCTGTGCCGGAGGACACAGCTGTCTCTGCTGGCGCCAGGACCCCAGCCCACTGCGGGGAACTCCAGGGCGTGCGTGGCTGCAGCCGCGCGGGAGCCCCGGCTCTGCGAACCTCCCAGGGTCCCGATATCGAAAGCCACGGGCAGCGCGGCCAAGCACAGGGCTTCTCCGCATCCTGGGCAGCCTTGCCCAGAGCCCACGGAGCTACCAGGCCGCCCGCGCCCGGGGCGCCTGGAGCGCGCTGGGGAAGGCGGCGCGGAGCCCGCGGCCCGGAGCCCGCGGCCCGGAGCCCGCGGCCCGGAAGGCAAGCAGGAGGAACACCGACAACTCTCCTCTCCGCGCCCGGACTCCGCGCCACCCTTCCAAATCAAACCCCTTTCCCGGGCCCCCCACCCAGCCCTCCTCTGTGCGCTTTTTCGAAACCCGGAACGCTCCGATTCTCCCCAGAACTGGAAGTGAGGGGAAACAGGGTTCGGAACCGAGAGCCAGTAAAATGCCGCCAAACTTACCTGCAGTTTCTCAGATTCCCGGGTCCTGTGCAGACTACATGGCCCAAGAACAAGATGGCTTTAAAAGTTACAAAGCTCAGAAATGATTTCCTCCCCGAGCTATGGGAGACAAAAAGGAGAGTGCGAAAGAAAGAAAAACACCCTGGGCTGGGACCGGGAGATCCCGGCGGCGGCGGCGGCGGCGCTGGGTCGGCCCCGCACGCCCTTCTCGGCTTTGGAGATACCAGCCCTGTCGGTGTCCGCCGAGGGCTACTTCAGTGTTTGTTCAATGTGGTATTAAAAAAAAAAAAAGTTGAGGCGGGGGTGGGGGGGCGGTGGTGGTGGAGGGAGGAGGGTGATAGGCGGGGGTTTGGGGGAGGAAAGCAGGAAGGAAGTTGTGAGCCTGTCTGGGGTTGAACTCAGCGGAACAAGTTTTTCTTTTCTTCTTTTTTTTTTTTTCTATTGCTTGGCAAGACCGAGGGAGGGAAACACTTAAAAAAAAAGTTTCCATTGTTAGCTAACCAAAAAAAAAAAAAAGCCTTTTAACTTTTGCGGGTTAAAGATATACGATCCATTTTTCCACCCCTTCGTCGAGCCTTGCTGATGTCTAGCTTTATGAAACTCTTTTTGAAAAATACTTTTAATAAAGTTTTGAGTGCGCAGTTTAAGCAAAGCAAATAATGGGGACCATTTTTTTAGCATGTAAAACGGGCTAAAATCCTACTTCAACGCTTTGTGTTCTTGTACAAAAATATGCAAATTCAAGGAAGGGACTTTGTGGGCACCTCGTTGCAAAGTTGCAGATTTTAAATGCATCATGCTAATATTTTGGAAGACTGGTTGGGCTGTGAGCTGTTGATGGTTTTGCAGTGCAATCGCTAGTCGTATAAACAGGCCTTAATGTTGCACACTCATCTGTTACCAAATGCACACAGCGAATGTGACATTGGCAGACTTTTGCACTTCTCAAAGTGATTTTTTTAAAAAAGGATAGTCCTGGAACTAAGAAAGCCGCAGACCTTGTTGCTCAGGCTCCTGCAGCTCATTTTCAAGAGCCCCTCCCCCCTCCCCATCAGCAAAAAAGGGTGAAGGTGAATCAGCGCATAGAGCTGGACTGGGGATCCCACCCCATTTCAACGGGTGCTGCAAGTGTGTTTTGCATAATTCTCTAACTCCAAAACTACAGCATTTAGTGAACAGTGAAAGCAGAGTTGCCAAGTTCAGGGGATTTAAACATCTAAATCCTGAACCAGTCCTCACATTCCCATGAGCTAGAATTTCAATGAAAATTTTGACTGCTGGTAGTGAACCCATCTCTTACTTATGTAACAGTCTTTAAAGCGAGCAAAGTATCCCGCTGCTCAGTGGGGGGTGGGGGGGACGACTCATGTTCACTCTGAAACCAGGGGGTTTCCTAGTCAAGAATTCCTGGGAATCAGACATGTCCAGTACTTCTAATTTTTTTAAAAACATGCCATGAAAGGACTGAACCTAATTCCTCTCCCTCCCGCAATGGGCTCAATAAAAAGGGCCCAGGGTATATTCAGGTGTTGACTCAGGATCTGGGTAGTTGTTAAGGCAGAAAAGCCAGCACTATCCTTGCCCCTGATTCAGTTCCCTAGAGGCAAGGAAGGAGAGATGCCACACCCCAGGAAGCCCAGTCTGTGGAGTTTATTTCTGACTATTCCAGGAGCTGCAAATGCCACATCAAGTGTCTGGTGGAAGCAGCTGGAGGACCCAGCAGTGCAGGCAGTGAACACAGGAGCTCAGCTTCTCAGCCCTGGGGAATCTCACTGTCACCTAACAGACATCACGGGTCTTCCCCGGAATTAGGAAATTCAGGCTTCCTGAATGTACAATCGGCCGGAGGAATCCTTGCTCACAAGGCAGCCAAGGGCTGGTCAGGTGCCGCAGAGAGAAGGGATTCCTGTCTTGGTTGGGCTAGGGGATAATTCTACCAGCCTAACGTTCTAACTTTGCCCCCAACCATGGCGGGCATTGGGGGAAAGATGGAGCAGAACCTGTATCTGGAGGCCAGCATGGTTGGCCTGCATCCTGAAGCAGAATCTAGTTGTCTTTCATGAATTTTAAGCGAACATAAGGAAAAAATATGTAGCATTTGTTATTAGCCAGGCACTGTGCTAAGCATATCATAAATATTTACACATTTTAATCCTCATAACAACCTAATAAGGTAGATACTATTATTATCCCCATTTTACAGATGGGGAAATTCAAGCACAAAACAGTGAATAATTTGCCCCAAATTCTACAGCAGGTAAGTGGCAAGGCTGGGATTTGAGACTGGGCAGTCTGGGTTTAGAATCTATTCTTATCACTATTTCTCCGTATTCTAAACTAGTTATCTAAAATCGTAGGAACAGTTTGCCTAATTTTTCAGGGTTCTAATCTTCCCACTTTTAAAATGGAATTTTAAGAATCATAGCTATGAAACTAAGCATAACAGGGAACTTCCTCCACTTGATAAAGGACATCTATCTATCAGGAAACTTACAGCTAACATCATCTTTAGTGGTGAGGGGATGAATGCTGGTCCACTACGATCAGGAACAAAGGAAGAGTATCTGCTGTAGCCACACCCATTCAGCGTTGTACTGGACATCCTCGTCAGGGCAATTAAACGAGAAAAAGAAATGAAAGGCAACTGAAATTCTCCGAGCTCTGTAGAATGGCACCACTTCCACAGTGTTCTTATGAAGATCTGCTAGTTAATGCACAGTTAAGCACTCCAAAAAAGTATACATATTTTTAAAAGGAGGCTCCCACCCCGCTAGCATCTCATGCCAAAAAAGATTCAAGAGTTAGTGGATCAAAGAATCTGCCTTACACAGAGTAGGTTCTCAATAAATAGTTGTCTTTAAATGAGCTTCAAAGCACCCAGAGACCCCTTATCCCCTTGTTGTTCTGATCTTCTGGTAACGGTAACGGTGATAGTGACGGTGACAGTGACGGCACCAGAAATGGTGGAGAAGTCTGGAGTCCTACTGAGCATTTTGTCTTTGCTCTGTCTTCAGAAACTCCGTAGTCCAAGGACATGGAGATGGCCCACGCCCAGTTATAAAATGACACAAGAGATGCCTGTTCGCAGCCCACTTGCCCTTCCAAGTGAATCTCTCTGCCCTGTTCCCTGTTAGCAATGCTGGGAGTCACAGGACCACTCTGGGCCCACAGTTCATTGGACCAAGGTGGGCCGGGCTCCCCGCAGACAGCTAATCTGCAGGCTGGCTAGGGACCTGGCATGAATACATGAGGAGGTCCATTGGACTCTTCTTATGGGACTCCATTTGGAATTTTTATGACAAGAACTGAGTGGAAAGTCCACATAGTCAACCTGGGGTTCACGAAGCGTGTGTGTGAGCTAAGAACAAGAACCCAGGAGTGAGCAAATGATGTCTGAGTGAGTAGGGGGGCGGGGGCGGACCAAAGTGTCTGGACCAAAGGGGCCGCAGCACCTGGGCACCTGGCCTGCTGGTGGCTCCCCAGAACCCATTCTCAGGAGGCTGGCAGGTTCTCCGACTGCCCCGAGATGATGCGAGCAGCTATGGCATTTCTGCGAACAGCCCCGTCCTCCCCCAGCCACCAACACCTTGCCCTGCACATAAATATTTATTCATGATTAATTCCTTCATCTTTCAAAAACACTCTTTTAAAAAAGATAGCCTTATTTACTTGAAACACACGCACAGTCTTGCTGCCCTTTGCCGCTGCTAAGAAGTGGCAGAATCTGGAAGAGCAAAATACAAATAGCAAATATTATGATTCTAGGTTGATATGAAGAAGAAAATGTTCATTTTGACACCTACCTCCCCAGTCCCAGTTGGCCGTCCTCCTGGTCACACCCCGCAGTCTCGGGGCTTCCTGCATTATAACAGATGTGAATTTATACATCCACTTATCAAACGTCTTTCCAAACACACTCTGTGGTAATCTGCTTCCTTTTGCTTCTTTCTCATCGAGTCAGAGAATAAATAATGCCTTACCCCCACTGGCACGTGCAGTGTCTGCGGTAGAGAGGGGACTTGATAGTGTTTGTTGAATGATCAGTGACTCCAGCTCGGCAAAAGCAACAAGCAGAATTTTCCCTCTCTCCTAAACCCAAAGGGTGTTTTGGGAGAGGAGCCAGGGAGGGAAAGCAAGCCGATTGGAAATATTCCTGCAGCAAAGCATGAGACACTTACAGGTACACAGGACCCCACGTACATGTGGGTACTGAAACGATGGTCTAGTTTCTTTTTTTTGTTGTATTTTATTTCATCTTTATTGTATTTTTGTTAAACACTGCCTTTTAGTCCCCATATACACCCCTCCCCAATTTCGTTTCAAGTAGACTTGTCAACCATTCAGACGGCTGATCCTGCATAGTTGCATTGGCTCTGTGGCCCATCTGACTCAAGAGCAGAGGCCCAAAAGCCATGGCTCAGCTGTGACCTGGGCCTGTGGTTCTTACGTACACTATACTTTTCATTATCTGGAAACAGCCATGAGCTGATAAGAGATGGATTAAAAGAATGCGATCCGGCTTTTCCTAGCTCAGTGTGAACTTGGCCAACTTAAATGCTCATGTGGAAATGTGGGGTCAAGGCTGTGTTCTGTTTAAAACGAGCCATCAGTTTAAGATACTGGCTCTTTGGTTTTGTAGCACGTACACCTTTTCTCTAGGATCTCCTGCTCACGGGGCATGTTGGCGACAAAAGACTGCTCTGGCTATAGAGCTTAAACTTCACAGCCTCAGCATCTACACCCCTTCCATGTCCCCTTCTCTGAATAACTGGGCTCGTGTGACATCTGTGCTCCCCCACGGACAAAAAAAGTAGTGAGAGAGAACATCAGGGGCATGTAAATTACATGACATTTACAAGACTTTTTTTTTTTTTTTTTTAGTTTTTGATGTAGTCGGCCTTGGGTTTGAGTGTCTCCATCAGCAAGTCCAAGAGAGCCAGAGAGGGCCATTGAGTCAATCCTGTCTCCTCGTTTAATATTTTAGGGACAGAAAGGAAGTGTAATGTTTACATACTGGGTCTTTAAGTGCAAAGTCTCAGTAAAGGTCACCATGTAATACTTTAACACAAAATAGACGGCTATCTCCAGCAGAAAGAGGAAGTTTCTTAGGCCTCCTTTTCTCCCGTCCCTCACAATGAAGGAACAGTGTTAGCAACACGAGATTTTATCTCCAGTGTTTGCAAACCACACTTCAGCAGCACGTCGGGTGTCTACAGAGCTGTGCCCACCGACGCAGCCAGTTGAGCTCTTGTTCGGCCCATGGGCACCT